CCCAAACTCAAATTTCATTTTTTTTCTTTTGTCAACTCCATTTTCAAATATATATTAAATTTTAAACTGTACTTGACCATTCATACATTTTCTCAATAATGGTATTACTACTGAAATGTTCATCATGATGATTGAGTTAATTGTCTTTACTTTGACTGGTTTCAAGTTTCAACTTCCAAAACCAAAAATTGTTTTTTAATGTGTGATTTATAGAAAAAGAAAACATGGAATATTGACCCCCAAAAAAAAAACATGGAAATTGATTGTGTTTTCATCAAAAAGTTTGGACCGTTTAACTTCAAATGAGGCATAAATTCAGCCCAGCCCATTAGATATCAAGGCTAAGTGTATGTGTGTGAAAGTCATTTTCTGCATTTCACTCGTGGTTTTAAAATTTTGTTTTGAACAAATATTTGATCGTTTTCTCTTCGTTACTTGTGTATATGCTAATGTAGCGTAATGTTTATTACACTTGAATCAACGTAATGTTACGATTTGAAAATGTCAATTGATCTATTTGGAGACAGAGACAAGCTTTAAAAGAGAAAATCTAGAGGACCAAAAGATTCATGCCAATGCCATAGTAGTAGAAGCTCGGGAAATTTGCTACGGCAACTACCACATCATTATTTTGGTCAAGCGGCGATGGTGTTGCCTCGCCGTCGTAGTCATTGGTCTCAATATTCGTCTACTTAATGTTCGGTGTTTAGAGCTCTAGATTAGCTTAGGTTTTGCATGGTCCATAACTATCATTGTTTAGTTAATTGTTTAGAAAATAATTTTGATAAATGGATATCGATGAATCGCATATACTATTCTTTACAAAATACAATGACATGCTTGCATATTTCCCTACATGAATCTTTCTATCTGCCCAAAATATATGAACCGGCTAATATTTTGATTTGTTAATTTTTCTCCCACCATATTTTTGAGGTTTTGACTTACAGTTGTTGCATGTGTAGTGTCTTCCACGTTCCTTTTAATCTAAAAAAATATACTACAAATTAGTCATATGATTTAAGTGGTAACTGCGCCACGAAATTAAAGGGCCGAACAATATAAAATAAAGTAAATAGTAAGTAACAACGGTCAACAGATTTACATAAAGAATACAAATTGA